CTGACTAGTAGCTTGGGCTCTGGAACCAGGATGCTGATTCAGATCACAGCAGTCTACTTCCCACTGCCTTCAGCAAGGTACTCTATTGTCTCTGATTTTCATCTCCAAAATGGGGAAAGAATTAACTACTTTTAGGATTATGAGGTGACAATCATACATACAGCTTAGATGATGACCCAGGTCAAAACCTGTTGACTTTAGGGCTGGGGATTTAGCTCAGTGGTGCCACCCCTGCCTGGCAAGCACAAGGTCCTAAGTTCAATCCCCGGTACCATAAAAAAAAAAGGAAGAAAAAAACCTGTTGGCTTTGTTATTACTTCAGCAAGTCCCAGGAGTTAACACAGCCACACAGCCAATGCCTTTTAAATTCTAAAAGATCAAGCTACTACAAATATAATCAATTCACATCTTCTAATTAGCATCTTTTAAATAATGATTGTTTATTATCAACCTTTTAATGTCTATTAAAATTACCAACAGATAGGCTAGAGCTGTGGCTTGGTAGTAGCGTCCTTGCTTGGCATATATGAGGCCCTGGGCTTGGTGCCTAGGACCACAAAACACACACACAGACACCTGGAGAAAACTAAACCAACATTTAAAAATAACATGAAGAGTACAGTATAGTTCTATCTTAACAAAGCACTTCCCCACCTCATGAAGTAACCCCAACTTGCTGAAACTAAAATTTATGTCTGGCATAGATCTAATTTCTGGTACACATACTGAATTCTATTTTATTAAATTGAAGCTGTCTTTCAACTACATGAGAACTTTATGCAACAGAAAAATTCTTAGAGGGCCAGGGATTTAGCTCAGTGGTTTCGCCACCTGCTGCACAAGCACAAGGACCCAAGTTCGATAGCCGGTACCAAAAAAAAAAGGAAAATTCTTAGAAATAATTAGCAATTAATAAATTGAAATTAGTTTCCTAAGGTCCAAAAGATATCTGAAATCACAAAGTGTCTCATCCTCTAAGAACTGAGGGTCAGAAACACACCAGGCTAACACCATACTAAGGTAAAACATAACCACAGTCAGACTCCCAAATCACTGTATTTTTTTTTTTCAGTACCGAAAACTGAACTCAGGACCTTGTGCTTACCAGGCAGGTGTGGCGGCACTAAGCTAAATCCCCAGCAAATCACTATACTTATTGTTGTTTATGTTTTTTAGTAGACGAAAAATTATTGAATTTGATTCTACTAGAATAAAAAAATTCCTTTCCTTTGAGCATAAAAATAAAAATGTCGGGCTGGGGATATAGCTCAGTAGTTCCGCCGCCTGCCTGGCAAGCGCAAGGTCCTGAGTTCAATCCCCAGTACCAAATAAATAGACAAAGTCTATACTACTCAGAGGGTAGATTAATAAAACATTTAAACTGGGCATGGAGGCATGTGCCTATAATCCCATCACTCAAGAGGCTGAAGCAGGAGGATCCCTGAGTATGAGTCCTGCCTGGGCTACACAGTGAGTTCAAGGCCAGCCTGAGGTACAGTGAGACCCTGTCTGTAGCTAACTAAATAAATAAATATAAAATAAAACATTTAAAACTGAGAAAAGTGGTTCACACCTGTAATCCCAGCGACTTGGGAGGATAAGCAGGAGGACTGCAAGTTCAAAGCCAGCCTAGGCAACTTAGTGAGACCCTATCTCAAAATAAAAAGGCTGGGAATGTAGCTCAGTGGTAGAACACCCTGGGTTCAATGCCCAGTATCAAAGGAAGGAGAGGAACAACTACAAATGTATGGTCTTCACTAAGAACTCTGCCATCGTCAGATTACTATACCTAAAGCAAATTGCCCCTCAGTCCTCAGACAGCTGCACTGCCCCATCTATCACATATAACTTACTGCCATTTCCCAATGAAGAGAAAATGAGGCCTAGGACATACAATGATCTAATGTTGGAAAGATCCCAGCTGTCACTGGGCCTGCCACAATCAAGGTCTCTAACACTTCACATGTAAAACAGGGATGACCCCCACCTCACAGGGACACGTGGGAAAAATGACACAAGTGGGCACAGGAAAGGGCACGCTTGGCATATGTGGGCATGCAATAAATGCAACTGTTATTGCTGTGCCTGAGCATGGAAGGGTCATGCTAGAAAAGGGGCGACAGAGCAACTCACGTGGGCACCTGGGTGCCAGCGGAACTGGCGCTGAGTCCCAAGGATGTTGCCAGCATGAACGTAGTGACCTAAGAGAGAAGTCCACAGGTGTGCTGACTCAGAGCCCCAGGGACCGTGACAGCCCAGCAAAGCACCAAGGAAACCTGACAGCCCGAATGCTGCACAACAGCCGCTGAGCCTCGCAGATGTCCAGGTAAGCAGGGCCTGTCTCTGTGACTAAGGTCACACCTCCCTGTTCCTCCCCAGGCCCCCCAGCCCTCCTCAGGTCTCATCTGCCCTTCACTCTACAGCCAAATGCTACGGCAAGTTGAGCACAGTACAAGGCCAGCGCCTGTGTGGTCTCCTGCTCTTCTAAGCAAAGCTGGAGCAGCTGGGTAGTGTGAAGGCAGGCACACCCTCACCTTCCATTTTCTTGATGCCAAAACGTTTGCCTGGTGACTTTCCACCGAGGTTTTTGGAGCTGCCACCTGTTTTCTTGGATGCACATCTGATTGCAAGAGCTGTGGCCGGAGGAGGGCTCAACAGGGCTGAGACTGTAGAGAGAAGAAACACTGCTCAGAGGGGCTCCCCAGCAGACTCTGTCATCTCAGCCCCTGTGCTCAGCGGAGAGATGGCAGGGGAGGTGAGAAAGATGCTGGATGGGACAGAGATATCACTGTGTTGCTTTTCAGGAAATGCCTGGAAGTCCTCGGCCTTCTCCCGTGGAGAGGGCCAACTCGTTCGTTCTTTGTGTTATACGGGATGGAAGCACTGCAGGAGGGCGCACATGTGGGCATGTGTGTGGTTGAGGGGGACAGCAGTGAAAAAGAAATGAATGTCAGGTGCTCTGGATCCTGGCACACTGAGTCCTGCTAAGGGGAAACACCACCACACAAATGTTAGAAACAGACAAGAGGATACCCCAGGGCCTGCTCCAAGGCCCAACTCACCCTGAAGCCCCGTGGAAGGGCCCGGCCAGACTTAGGGAGCCCCACCACAGGACACCAGAGAGGTTCAAGCAGAAAGCACCAGACCCTGGCACACAGAAAGGGCTCCCAGTCGTTTCAGAAGGCCCGGCTTTCTTCCCAACGCCCAGCAGGCAGAGAGCCAACCAAGAGCAACACACTTAACTGAGAGTTTAATCTGACTTCTCCATGTTAATCCTAAAGTGCTCAATGGCATTTACTTTTACAAAGAAAATGAGCTGGGTGTGGTGGTGTGTGATTGTAATTCCAGCTACTTGGGAGACTGAGGCAAAAATGATGCAACTTCACTGCCCGCCTGGGCTACTTAGCAAGACCTTTTCTCAAAATTTAAAAAAAAAAAAATTAAAAGGTCTGGAAATGTAGATCAGGGTTCCCTGCGCTCTATCCCTAGAACAAAAAATTTTTTATAAAAGGAAAATGAACAAAAACTCATACTGACATGGAAGACCCATACTTGTATGACAAGCCCAGGGTTGACAGTTCTTCCCTTAGGGTCTCCAGACACAGCCATGGTTGGAGGAGCACACCAGGGTCCTTAGAGAAGCTTTGCAGGTGTCTGGAGCCAAGTTCAGAGTACCCAAAACCTACATTTCTGAAGTTTCCATGGGAACAGGGAGTAGCTGAGACGATGAAGGACCAGAGTGAACTCAGAGACAACCCATTAAGTACCCAGCATCAGGCTCCACCTACCTTTACACATCTCTTCCTTTACTTACTGAGCAGTTTGCTCGATCTACATGGTCTCACTTCTAAATCTCTACTCTTCTCCCAACTGCCCATCTTTCACTTCAAAGTAAATGGTGCTTAGATTTACCCAGCTGCTCAGGCAGAAACCAAGAAACTGTGGATTCTCTTTGCTCACCTTGCATATCCAATTCATCAGCAAGCTCCGTGGATTCTAGCTCCAAAATAGGCCCGGAGTATATCTACTGCCACCACTAATATCTTGGCTAAATCACTAATCTTCAGAGCTTCCTATGTGGTTTCGTTTCCATTACTACCCACCTTTATTTTTTAAAAAAATCTTTTGAGACAGAATCTTCCTATATAGTTTAGGCTGGCCTTAATGTCACTATATAGGCTAGCCTGGGCTCAAATGTGCAGTGATCCTTTTGAATGCTGGGATTCCAGGTGTGTGCCACCACACCCAGTGCGACCCATTTATTATTTTTTTCGGTACTGGGGTTCAAACCTAGGGCTTCCTGCATGCTAAGCAGATGCTCAACCTCTGAGCTACATCCTCAGTCCATGCCCCTGTAATTTATATAAGATCAATAGTTTGCACCATAAAATATAAAACTGGATCAAATTATTCTCCTGTCCCCCGCAAAAGGCCAGGCCTCCTCTCTTCCTTTAGGTGTTAACTCAGGTTTTATCTAAGAGGACTTGCCTGACCATCCACTTTAAAAAAGACACAAACCCATTTTTTTTCTTTCTTCACCAGAATTTTCACCATTTCCAACTATTTTATTTTTATGTGCTTAGGGGCTTATCTAGTGTGCTGAGGCTGAAAACCTGTCCTTATGTTTTTTGCTGATAGAGTGAACATCCACAAAGACAAGCCTAAACCTGTTAAATGAACAGGTAATCTTTCTGAGCCCAGACGTAGCAATAAGCAGGTGGAACCCACAATCACCCACAAAGCGGAAGTGGCCTGAGCTCCCGAGGCGGAGGAAGACTCGCGCACCTCCAACCTCCTCCCGCGGCTCCGCCCCGGACGCGTCACGTGAAGGCCGACAACGGCCCCTCAACTCTCGGGTGCCTCCCCACAACCCCCTCCATGCATCCAGGGTCATCCACGGGGATCAACTTCTACCCCCCGGCCTCCCCGCCGGTGCGTCCCGCAATAGCTACGGCATCCCATTACCAGCTGCGCGTGTCCTCAGCGCCAGCGCCGATGCCGCCATGTTTGCCTCCCGGGCGCTTCCGGTCTGGAAAGTCTACTTCCGCTACCGGGAGATCTGCTTCCGGGTCCCTTGTGGCCGTTGAAAGAGTGGCGTGAGAAGTTGTAGGTGGGTCATGGACCTTTTGCAGGTCGAGGCTGGCGTCCTGAGCACCGCCTCGCAGGGGCGTGATGACCGGGGACCCCTGCCACGGACCGCCGGCCTCAGAGGGTCCCGCTTGTCCCACTGCCTGGTTTTGCAGGAGTCATCCGAGGTCCAGGGAGGGGACAGGGATGAGGCCCCCTGCCTGGCATATACACAGAAAACTTAAGTGGCCACGCAGAAATGTGCAGTGAATTGCTTATAGCACCATTATTCATCATAGCCAAAAGGGAGAGAAACGAAATGTTCATCAAGTGATGAAGGGACAAGCAGAACATGGTAGATCCGTACAATGGAATAGTACAGAAGGCTAGGTGGGAGAAGCCGGTCACAAAAGGCCATATATTGTATGTTTCCATTTATATGAAATAGCCAGAATAGGCAAATCCATAGAGACAGTAGATCTTTGCTTGTTAGGGCCTGGGGGAAGGAAGGAATGGACAATGACTGCTTAGTGACTAGGGTTTCTTTTCTTTTCTTTTTTTCTTTTTTTTTTTTTTTGGTCTCGCTTTGTAGTTAAGGCTGGCCTTGAACTCACTATGTAGCCTGGGCTGGACCCGAATTCCCAGCGATCCTCTTGCCTCAGCCTCCCATGTTCTGGGATTACAGGCATACATTACCATGCTTGGCTATGATTTCTTTTTTGAGGTGATAAAAATGTTCTGGAATTAAATAGTGGTGGTGAATATACTAAAAAAATTATACCATACTTTTTTTTTTTAATGTTTTTGCAGTGCTGGGGATTGAATCTGGGGCCTTGTATATACTAAGTACTTCCACTGAGCTATACCTCCAGCCCCTGAACTGTGCATCTTAGGCTGTGCATGATGGCACGTGTCTGTGATCCTAGCTACTCAGGAGGCTAAGGCAGGAGGATTGCAAGCTTGAGGTCAGCCTGGGTAACTTAGTAAGACACTGTCTCAAAATTTTTTTTTAAATTTTAAAGCTGGGGATATGGTTCAGTGGTAGAGCACCCCCGTATTCAATGCCTAGTACTGAAAAAAAGAGAGAGAGATAAACTGTTTAAAATGATGAACATTATCCAAATTGTATGTCAAGTTTTTCTTTCTTTCTTTTTATTTTTTATTTTTTTGGTACCAGGGATCAAACTTGGGACCTTGTGCTTTCGAGACAGGTGGCAGAACCACTGAGCTAAATCTCTGGCCCTGTATGTCAAGTTTTTAAAAGGTTGATACTTCAGTTTTGGGGGGGGGGGTTGTTTTGTTTTGGTACCGGGGATCAGACTTGGGTCCTTGCGCTTGCGCAGCAGGCAGTGAAACCACTGAGCTAAATCTCATTTCAAATGCAGATATCAACAAGGAGGTGGTGGTGAGTCTCCTTACTACTTCCATTAAAACTTTGTAGGGCCAGGGATTTAGCTCAGTAGTTCCGCCGCCTGCCTGGCAAGTACAAGGTCCCCAGTACCAAAAAAAAAAAACAATTTTGTAACTATTAGGCATGGTGGCATACATCTGTAAACCCAGCACTCAGGAGGCTGAGGCAGGAGGATCACAAGTTTGAGGCCAGCCTGGGCAACTTACCCTGAATCTCTTAAATTTTTTTTAAAGGCTTAGGGATGTAGCCCAGCACTAGAGTGCTTACCTACTGTGTGGGAGACCCTGGGTTCTATGCACAGTACTACAAAAACAAAAAATGCATCTAGAGGACCAAATTGAGCACTCCTGTGTCTCATCTCTTTTTATCCTTTTAGGTAATTACTTCAACAACACGCAGTGATGGCTCTAACCAAGCCGTCGCTCTCACTGGATTCTAGTGAGAGTGATTCCGAGGAGTTGCCAACATTTCCCTTCCTGAAGAAGGAACCGTCTTCAGCAAAGAGGAGGCAGCCTCCCAGGGCCGGCAGGATCATCATGGTGGACACCTCAGACTCCAAAGCCTCCCAACCGCCATCCCCAGGGCCAGTCACTCCCACCAGGGCAGAGCTGCTCCGAGAGCTGAGCAGTGGGAGCGAGGAAGAGGAGGAACTTGTTCCCCTGGCCAGGCGGCTTAAATGTAAGTTTCTGACACACAGGCAGCTGAGCCCTAAGGCCTCCAGCCCCTCGGGTGAAGGTGTCAAGGATCATCAGAATGAGGGAACATCATGTGACTGGGGAATACCATCCTTCCCCGAGGTCTCCGGTGTTCCCCTCAGTGACAACTCCAAGTGGGGTGCAGCAGATAACCAGGCCCAGAGCTTGGGCTTCTCGTGCCATAACCCCCCAGCACCCGGGTCCACCTGTCTCGTCCAGAGCAAGGGATTGGCAGGAACCCAAACAAAATCTGGCATTGCCCCTGCTCAGAAGAGAGCCAAGCACAGTCAGAAGGGCCAGAGGAGAGCCTCGCAGAAACGAGTGAGCCGGAAGGAAAGTACCCTGGGACAGCAGGAGAGCAAGAAGAAGGCGGCGCTGGTCAGCAGGCTAAAGGCCCAGCGGCCAGAGGAGTGCTTGAAGCACATCGTTGTGGCACTGGACCCAGGTTCTCCTGCCTCTGTCTTCGCCCTGAGCCATGCTGCCTGCGTCCCAGCCACCCACTGACTGGCCCTTTCCTTGTGTTGCAGAGCTTTTGCAGATGGAAGGCGGGGGCCAGCTCCTCGGAGCGCTGCAGTCCATGGAGTGCCACTGTGTCATCAAAGCACAGGCTGTGCCTCGCAGTGTCACATGGAGGAGAAGGGCAGGGCCCGGTGAGGTAGGGCTTTTCTGGTGAAGGCTCTCCTCCTCCTCGGCCCCTTAGAATTATAAGATCAATCTTGTATTTTTATTTTTTGTTTGTTTGTTTTTTTTCTTGAGACAGGGTCTTGTTGTAGTTCAGGGTGGCCTCAAGTCTGTGGAGATTCCCTCCTTGGGCAGGGAAGGGGAAGAAAATGGTGTCAGATTCCTCTCCCTGAGCCTTGGGAATGGGGGCCCGTGTTTGAGCCCAGCTCGGTGGCTTCATGCTGTGCCCCTGGACACACTGTCACAGAACATTGTGCCTCCCTTGCCTGGGATAAAGTGAGGACATTGTCAGATCACGTTCAGTCCCCTCCGGTGGGCCCTGAGCTCCCGGCACCAGCACCCGGTAGGCACACAGTACCTGCTTCTCCCATTCTCCCATTCCAAGGCTCACTTCCTGTGCCTGTAATACCTTGCCTCCATGAATCCAGTGGCTTCACCTCTAAGAGTTTAGAGATGAGACATTAAGAATTTTTTTATTCCATACTGGGGATTGATCCTAGGGCTTTCAAACTGAGCTGCATCCCTAACTTTTTTTTTTTTTTTTAAATTTTGAGACAGGATCTCACTAAGTTGCTAAGTTGCACAAGCTGGGCTTGAACTTGCTATCCTCCTGCCTCAGCCTCCCAGAGTGATGGTGGCCTACACCACCAGACCTAGCCTGGCTCCTCTGTTTTTTATTTTTAAGTAATTTAGGACTATTAACCACTTTATTTAGAGTACCAGGAAACCTTTGTCTTCACAGAGCAGTTTAGCCTTTCTGGGCACTTCCGGGTTCTTGCCTGTGTCTCTGTCACAGTTATCCTGCAAGGCAGGGAGTCTCCAAATGTCACAGGTGTGGACGTGGGCTCCATGAGGCTAAAAACCTGAGTCAGGATCAGAGCTGGAGCTAGAATCCAAAGCTCCTGCCACCCACACTTTGCTGTCCTGGGGCTCTGGCTTTTGCTGACAGGGACCCAGTCAGAAAGCTTTGTGGAGAAGTCCCACCGGGCAATCACCCCACCATGCTGTGCCCCCCAGCTCCCTGGCCCCAAAGCTTCCTTGGCTTTGACTGTGGCCCAGCTGTGATGAAGAGGAGGTGCTGTCACAGTCGAAGCTCGTGGCTCTTCATCGCTCTAGACCTCTGCGTTTGTAAGGGCCACTTGGCTCCTAGCACCTGCCTTCAGAGCCACAGTGATTATGTGTTCCCCCTGTTCCCTTCTTCAAAATGCAAGGAAAACAGTTGCTTTTTTTCTTTTTTTTTTTTTCTTTTGGTACCAGGGATCAAACTCGGGTCCTTGCGCTTGTGCAGCAGGCGGCGAAACCACTGAGCTAAATCCCTGGCCCTATTTTATTTTATTTTGTTTTATTCTTTTGGTACTGGGGATCGAACTCAGGTCCTTGCGCTTCGAGGCAGGCACTGGAACCACTGAGCTAAATCCCCGGCCCTGCTTTTTAAAAAATTGTTTTAAGTGTTTATTAGTCCATGTTTGCAGAACACAGTGATTACATTCCTTGTGGATGGTGGTGCAGGTACTAACATCTCCAGTCTTTCCACCACCCCTCCCTGCTATAGCAGTTGCTTTTCAACTCCTTTCAGTTTGCTGAGTTTCTCTTCTCTTTCCTTTCTTTTTAGTGCTGCTGGGGATGGGACCCGGGGCCTCACGCATGCTAGGCAAGCACTGCACTGTGAGCTGCACCCTAGGTGTGGTCATCCTTCCGTATTCAGCATGTCTGGGGTGCAGTGACTGAGTTGGGCCACGTGATTGGGAAGGTGGGGTGGTTGTTTCTTGCCACTGTGACTTTACCCAAGAAGGAGGGTCACGCACCAGGGTCGGGGAGTGGACTCGCTGAGCTGACCCGGGCCCTTGCAGGCTCCATCCCTGCTGACCTCCCTCCTGGGACTGGGTTTTGGGTCCTGGGCAGGATGAAGAGGCCTGGGTGGAGGAGCCGGCAATCCTGGTGTTGCTCCTGGCAGAGGCTTTTGTGTCCATGATCTGCAACTTAAAGCAGGTGAGCAGGGCCAGAGGGTGGGGGCCGTGACATGGAGCAGAGCGCCTACTCTTAGTAGGGAGCCAGCATTAATTCACTTCTGGCCCTGCCAACAGGGAAGCCCGGGCAGCAGCGAGAATGGGAAGAAAACACTCAAGGGCTTCGTCACTGATGTCACAGCAAGGACAGGAGGGAAAGCTCTGTCCCTAGTGATTGTGGATCAGGAGAAATGCTTCAGGTTTGGGTTTTTCCTGAGACTGGGTGTTAAAAGGGGTGGCCTCAGGGTCAACAGGGGAGGTTAGTCACCCCCACTGTGAATCACTCTACCAGATGGTGTCCCCAGCAAAGCCCTGTGGCACAGGCTTTTCCACTCTTCCTCCCCAGTTCAGCCTGGAGCTGCTGTCCTTTGATTTCCTTCCCTGCTCCAGGGCTCAGAATCCTCCCAGGAAAGGGAAACAGGGAGCGGCAAATAAACAAGCCAGGGAGAAGCAACAGCGACTCCGAAAGTCTAGCATGGCGTCCTCAGTGTCCAGGGTGGATGTGGAAGAGGTAAGAACGTCCTGATCCTGAGGCAGGGTCACTCACTGGTCATCAACCAGAGTTGCTATGAAGACAAGAAAATGCGCACTAGATGCTTTCTGCCTTGGCACCACATGGACAACCAGGCCCAAGAGGGAGCACAGGGGTGGGGTGAGAATGACTTCCGGCTAGTCTCCACTCTCCAGGCCTTTTTGGCCTTCGGGTTTCCAGGCACTGGTGGATCTGCAGCTACACACAGAAGCCCAGGTCCAGATCGTGCAGAGCTGGAAGGAGCTGGCTGACTTCGCCTGCTCGGTCACAAAGGCCGTGGCTGAGGTGCCTTTCAAGTGAGTATCCCAGTGAGGCCAGCCTCCTTGTTGAGCCTTGCTTTCGGCCATGGCTCCGGGACCAGGGAATGTCCCTTTCCCCTCCACACCAAAGCCACCCATTGTCACTTCTCTTAAGGCCCAATCAGCCATCTTCTGCTGGGGATTCCTGGCAGAGCCCTCAAACCCGGTCCCCGTGAATCATTTTTTAGCTTGTGCACATTGTGCAGGTTGGAGCTGGGTTCTCGGGGTCAGGTGGCCCGGTGCATTCATTACAGGTTAGACTACAGGGAAATAAGCCCTGGGAAAGCAAATGTCAAGGATTGGTTCAAGGATTGTTCATACTCAGAATTTATATAATAGGGGGCCTCAGAGACCATCCTGTCCCAGCCCCTTATTTTATTTTGTGGCGGGGAGGTACTGGGAATTGAACTCAGGACCTTGTGTTTGCAAGGCAGGCAGCAGAACCACTGAGCTAAATCCCTGGCCCCCCAGCCCCTTATTTTAGACTGGAGGTTGCTAAGGCTTCACTGAGGTCATTGAGTTGTCTAAGCTCTAACAAGTGAGGACCAGATAGACTCCAGACCCAGTCCCTCGGGTCTACTGCAGGACAGGACAACCTCATCAGGAAAGCAAAAGGATTTGGTGTCTTCTCCTATAAGGTTTAGTTTTAAGGGAATCCACAGATAGCAGTATGCTTAGGAACAGGTGAGCACCCAAACCCCCAAAGGCTGAGATGGGCCAGATGTAACCAAGTGCACCTCCAGGCTGGGGGAGGGGCCTTTGCAAGCCCCATTGAAGTGGCAGAGGTATAGGACTAACAAGCGGCTCATCCTGAGGCTGTGCTGTTTGCAGGAAGCTCCGAGATGAAACCAGCTTCTCCTTCTGCCTGGAGAGCGACTGGGCAGGAGGGTTGAAGGTGGACCGTGCCGGCAGGGGACTCGCACTGGTCTGGAGGAGACAGATTCAGCAGCTGAACCGGGTCAGCCTGGATATGGCCAGTGCTGTGGTGGATGCCTACCCCTCACCACAGCTCCTGGTGCAGGTATGCTGCTCCAGGAGGTCCCTCAGCACTGTGTCCACAGCGGGCGGGCCCCAGAGAGGGAAGACCGGCTCTCATCCCCCAACCCGAGCCTCCCACCCTCCCAGCTTATGGGCAAGAGGTGACTGAATTGCTACAGCATGAAGAGGTCATTTCCTGCTTTCAGGCTTATCGGCGGTGTGTCTCGGAGCAAGAACGCCAGAACTTGCTGGCAGACATCCAGGTGCGACGCGGGGTGGGCGTGACAGCCACCTCCCGCCGCATTGGCCCAGACCTGTCCAGGCGCATCTATCTTCAGATGACTGCTCTGCAGCCAGATCTCTCTCTGGACAGCGCTGACTGACGCCAGCCCACAGGGACAAGGATGACAGCAGCAGATTTCCACCTCCCCAACCTTGAAACGAGACGGGAAGCCCATCCCAGGGCACGAGGCTGGTATAGCTGGTCTTCGTCCTCCTGTCCAAGTCTCCATGTTTGAGGGCAGAGGTCAACACCGGCACCTGCCTTTGCTTATTGGTCCTTTCCCAGCAAAACCAGCTGCCCTGCCAGCTCTCAGGATGAAAAGACACAGACAGACCACTCGGACACAGATTTAATAACTGTAGAAATCCCAAAGAAACAGCATCAAATCTTGAAGTCTGAGTGAACACTAGCCTGCGGCTGGCGTGGCTGGGCTCAGCCACAGAGCTGCCTCGACCAGCCAGGAACTTGACTGGGCTGACTTCTGTTTCCACAACTTCATCATATGCATTGTGTGTTTAGTTTCAATAAAGCGTGTGGACCCACGGCCCTGGAGCTTGGAGGAAGACTAAAGGAATGTAATGATTGAGTAAGGTGTGGACCTATGTGGCAGAGCTACCCGGGGAGGAGAGAAAAGTCCTTTCTTCCAGTATCAGAGCTCTCAGGGGCCACTATATCGAAAAGCTGGACCCTGCTCTGTCTCTCGACTGTGACACGGTCTTGCTCCCTCCACGGAGAGGAGTGCAGCAAGCACCAGGCGGTTGTTTCTGACCCTCACGCGGCTGCTGGGCCTTGCTGCCCTCACATGCACTGTCTGCAGTGTGCACCACCTGCCACCCCCAGGACGCTGCTTGTTTCCCTTCACTTCCTGTCCCATCCACTCCTCCCCTCCCGTTAGATGTCCAGACCCACAGTTCTAAGCCTCAGTGTCTTCGAAAGCTGAGTTTTCAGGTTGCCTTTGAGGTACGTGGTCACACAGCCCTCGGGAAGGGTCACAGACCGTGCTGGCTCCATGCTCCCCAGCAGTCAGTCACTGCTTGGAGCCACACGGGAAGGGGCAGGACTCCCCCCACCCCAGGGGCTGCCCGAGACCCCAGTGCTGGAGCTCTACTGTGAGGGCCGAACCTGTCTACTGTGTCTGTGAGTCTGCACTTGGCTGAGACAGAATTCCGGCAGGGCTTCAGTTCTCATAGGATATTATTTATAAAGGAGGCCAAATGATGTAAAGGAAATAAAGAATGAGAGTGGGAGTCCATTCTGCCTCAGAACAGTGGGGAGACAGCAGGCGAGTCCTGGAAGGCCTCGGTTTCTCTGCCTGCAAGCGTCAGCTGGACTGACGGTGGGGAAGTGCCATTCACTGCCGGATTCTGTACTCACTGAGATGCTTGAGGGTCTGAGGTCCTAAGGAAATGGGTGCGCCCTCCCCCAACTTAGGCTGAATCTGCTTCACAATGTCCCCTGGTCCCCAGCAACACACTGACTCCCGATCTGCCCCGGTTCCCCGGGGGGAGGAATGAAAGAAAGGGTTGTGACATACAAAAGTATAAATGTAGTGACAGCTGACCATTTAGTAGAAATGCGCCTTGCCTTTAGACAGCTTCAGTAATAACTAGAAAAGGCTGTTCTCTCCCCGCCCAAGCCTACTCCTTCAGGCATGCAGGTCACTCCCCCACCTCCCGTTCCTCCTCCTCCTCCCTCCAGGGAGCCCTGACTAGGGAATGAAGAAGTCCTACAAGAGGAGGCCTCAAGTACCAGTCGGCAGCCATGGATGACGGCAGGTAGGTCTGATGCTAAAGAGGTTGTGTCCAGCAGAACCCAATTCCATAGGAATCCAAGCTCCGAGGCCGGGAGATGCAGCGGCTGCTCCGGCTCACTGCTGAGAGTCAGGCTGCAGGACCCACCGGAGGATCTCGTGGCGGCGCAGCCCCTGCACAGCGTTGTCATAGATGGTGTTCACGGTGGCGCACAGTGGCTGCTGCTGCAGCGCCGTCAGGCGACACGCGACCAGCCCACCCCCCACGCACAACAGCAGCAGCAGCAGCAGCAGCTTCAGCACAGCCCAGGACCGAGCCTGCTTCCGGGGTGGTGGCTTGCGGGGACGGGAGCCAGACTTGGATTCTGGAAGGACAAGAGTCACAGTGGACAAAAGAAGTTCCGTTAGTGTAAGGAGACCCGCTGTTCACTACGCACATGCATCTCCTCCACGCAGAGCCGCCTACCTTTCCTCAGACCCTGCAGGGAAATATCAAAGCTCTTAAACACTGCTCTCCTTGCTGGGAGTGGTGGTGCACATCTGTAACCCCAACCCTCAAGGGTGAGGCAGGAGGACTGCCTGGAGTTTACTGCCAGCCTGGGTAACTCAAAAGGGCTGGGGGTGCAGCTCCATGGTAAACCCCCGCATGCAATCCCCAATACCGGCCAGAAACTAAAACAAAACAGAAAACCCCAGAAACCTGCTCTCCAGAGACTGAAACATAACCATCGTCTCCCTGAGATCCCCAGAGACCTCAGTGGAACCGAACCCTGGCTGTGTGTGCCTGGCGGCTCAGTCCCTAGGGTCATGAGCTCTCCTTGCTGATGGCAGATCCCTCAGAGCTGCTGGGTGCAGGTGGGGAGGACTTGCTGACACTGAACCCCACCCTGCTGAATACACCCTGCTGCCATCGGTGGTCACGGGGAACAGGGCTCTCGTCACCGACCACCTCACCCCTTGGGCCTTGCCGTGCTGCTCCCAGGCGGGAAAGTCCGACTGGTCTGACAGTGGTCTGTGCATCACTCAGTGACAGCGCAGGAACCTTGCAGTGCCGAGTCAACTTACTCGGGGCCTGATTTGCCTCCTTCTTGGGCTTCTTCTCCTGCTCCCGCTTGGAGGCCTTGAGGGCATCATACTCCTTCTTCCGCCGCTCCTTCTCCTCCGCCTTTTCCCGCTTCCGCACCTCACGCTCCTGAGCTTCCTTTGCTCGCTGCTTGGCCTCCCGCTTCTTCTCTGCTTCTGCAACAGAAACCCCCAAAAGTGACTGCTCCCCTCCTGCCCCCACAGCCTGCTTCCCCAAGTGGCTTAGTGTGGATCTGGCTACTCTGTCCCATATCCCAGGGGCCACTTAAGAAATAATGTAGTGAAAGCAGCCAGGTGTGGTCTCCCCAGCACTCTGGGAAGCTGAGGCGGGAGGATCACAAGTTCAAACCCAGCCTGGGCTGCTTGTTAAAACAATCTCAAAATAAAGAAAAAAGGCACTGAAGATGGGGGCCCTTGGTTCAATCCCCAATACCACAAAAAAGGAAAGAAAGAAAAGAAAAAGCCAGGTGTAGTGGCACATGTTTGTAATCCCAGCTACCCAAGAGACTGAGACAGAAGTCTGGTGGTAAATTTGACACCAGCCTGGGCAGCTTAGCAAGGCCCTGTCTCAAAATTTTCAAATAAATGCATGGGCTGTGGTATAGCTCAGAGGTAGAGCACTAGCTGGCAGGCACAAGACCCTGGCCTTGATCCCAGTATCACAAATACAAGAGGAGAGAAGGGCAATGAGCAGGAGAGATCAGGGTGAAAGTACAGCACCTAGGAGAGGAGGCAGGGATAATAAGCCTGGCATCCCTCCAGGTACCGACTCAAAGGCAGATCCTGCTCCACACGGTGGCCTGGTCCTGCAGTCCCAGCACTCGGGAGGCTGAGGTGGGAGGGTCACTTGACCTTAGGACTTCAGGACCATCCTGGGCAACATAGCAAGACCCTGTCTGTTTCTGTACTAGAGACTGAGCCCAGGGCCTGTGCACTTAGCTACATCTCTAACCTTTTTACTTTTTATTTTGAGACCTGGTCTCACTAATTGCCCAGGCTGGACTTGAACTTTCAATCCTCCTGCCTCAGCCTCCCAGTGCTGGGATCACAGGCATGTACCACCATGCCCAGCTAAGACCCTAACAAAGCAAAACAAAAGAAAGCAGAACAGTTGACAGCCTCCTAGGACTCAGCTAAGAGAAGAAACAATGCAGGTGTTGATTCTACCTGACTCCTTTCTTCCGGAGCCTCAGAAATGAGCCTGGCACTGGGAGGGGGCAAGTGAGAAGAAAGGAGCGGTCACACTTAGGGGTAGAGGCAACCACCAGGTTTTTCTAAGAAGTAACACAGTTTGTCAGAACGAACTCCCAACTTTAACTCGGGAATCTCTGTAAAGAACAGATTTGCTCAGCAACTCAAATCTGTTTACATGTAGTGGCCAACTTCCAAATTACTGGGTTCTAAAAATGCATTTCCAAGTCGGTTATTTGGAGGCCTGAGATACACTTTTCCAAAGGCAGAATGCCACAGAACGGTGGTTAGCGGTCCCCTTAGGGCTTAGAAGCCTATATGAGCCCTGATTCTGCGGAGCAGCAGGACTGTGTGTCCAGCTTCCTCGGGCCTGCTTGTGTGCAAACTGGCCAGGCCACACCCAGCCTGGAGGACCCCGCCGAGGGCAAGGAGCGAGAGCAGGGTCACTGCAAACTCACGCAGGCGTGTCCTGCCTGGTGGCCACGCCGGAAGAAATGTGGCGCATCCCTCTTCCGGTCACACAGCCCTGGGTCAGGCGCTCATAGATCAGCCAGGGCTCAGAGAGGCCCTGATGCCTCCCTCGGACCCAGACGCCTCAGTGGAGGGGACAAGTGCAGCTTCCAGCCAGCAACAGAGCCCAGGTGACAGTAGAGGTGTGGTGGCAGCGTGAAGGACACCCTTGCCCTGCTGCGGGGGACAGGGCTGGGGCATGGGCCCACTGGCCGTCAGTGAGCCTGTGTCTCATCCCCGGTTCAGGGGTCAGCTTTAAGCTGATGTCTGAAAAGCTCCCCCAGGGCTGGGTGTGCAGCTCAGAGGGGCGCTGACCTCGCCTGCCACATGCGCCGTTTCTGATCCCAGCACAGGGAAAATAGGCCCCGCGTCTGTGGAGTACAGAGCAGGGGTCTGTGGAGACAGCAGCAGACACTGAGGGAGTCCATAGGATGGGGACTTATTTCAGAGGGGGTGGAGACAGTCACACAACAGACTGGAGGTGGGAACAACAGATGAAAGGAAGCCAGGCATCGTGGGCACAGTGTAATCCCAGCACTTGGGAGGCTGAGGCAGGAGGATCACTGTAAGCTGTAGGCCAGTGTGAACTACATAGCGAGACCGTGTCCAAAACTGAACAAACAAAAAACAGGATGGGAATCACGGAGATTGTTCCTACTTCAGCCTGAGTCTGGGGATTGTGATTTCCTATGGGGGGCTGAAGGGGACCAGGGCTTTGCTTTAGCCACATCCCATTTGAATGCTTAGGGTTCCAGACACAGGACGGGTAGTGGCTATCACTCTGGAGTCACTGGACACAGCGATGCTGTCCCCACTGACTGTCCGGCCCACACTGTACTTAGCAGCACCCTGTGGATTCCAGCACGCAGGCTGGTGAGGACCACAGAGAGGACTAGAAGGGGGATGGCCACCTACCTCGCTCCACTTCCAGCCGCCGCTGCCTCTCACGCTCCTGGTCTGCCTGCACGGCCTTCATGTGCTGTAACACCTATGGGGACAGGAGATGCTCCGTTCAGGGTCCCAGAGCTCCAAGGCCCCAGGCAACACAGCTGTGGAGTTTCCTATCTTTGTGTCCTACATTACTGTACCAAATTTAAGTCACAAACCCAGTTCATTAAAGCTGTCAAAATCTTTTTTGTGTGAAACACAATGCTGACTGGAATCTGTGAAAAGTTCTGCCATTGGCAGTGCAAACCTCTCATCCCAGCCACTTAGGCTGAGGCAGGAAGATCTCAAATTCAAAGCCAGTCTGGGCAACTTAGTGAGATCCTATCTCAAAAGGGCTGGGATGTAGCACAGTAGTAGAGCACGTGCCTAGCTTGCGCAAGGCCCTGGGTTCAGTGCCCAGGACAGGAAAATAAGATGTTCTGCCATGCACAACGACCTCCCATGTGTGACCTGAGACACCCCCAGCAGTGCCGAGGCCCCAGGCCCAGCCTTCCTCCCCACTCTGGTTACCCCATCCCCTCCTCTGACTGCAGACTCAGCAGAGGCTGCTGTCACTTCACCACTTCAGCAGCTCAGTCATGAACCTGGCACCCAAGGGTAGGAACTGCTGCCCATGGGTGGGCGCCCAGGTCAGAGGGCAGCGGGGCAGGGCCTGCAGGGACCTGTCCAGCACATGGCAGGAAGGAGCACAGCAAGCACCTGGGGGAGCCTGGCTCACTGCAAAGAGGTACAAAAACACTGTCACCATGGCCGGGGGAAGAGGCAAAAGCCCCGCACCACTCCGACTCTGGCCCTGACTTCAGCCTTGCCAGTGACTGAACCCTCCGAGCCCAGTCCTGACATGCAGCACAGGCACCACACTTCCCCAGCTGCCTAGGAACATGGCTCGGGTTAATGGCGTGGCTGCCCAGCGCAGACCCTGCACCCACCGGCTCAAGAGAAGCTGCTGCCCCACCACTCCGCTTTGTTACAGGAGACAGAGAACTCAGACTATTCTAAGACAGCAAATACATCTTACTGCAGCATGTGTGTGCTCAAACGTAATTCTGTCTTATTTTCTTTTATTTAAGACAGGGTCTCACTATGTAGCCCAGGCTGGCCTCCAACTCAAGACGATCCTCCTGCCCCAGCCTCCTGAGTGCTAGGATCATAGGCATGCGCCACTATGCCTGGGTCAAACATAATTCTCTTCCTGCAGAACCTCAGGTATGCATGTAGCCATTGGAAAGAGAGCTTCAGGAGCAGGACTTCCCTGCAGAAGCCACGAGGAGCTCCGTCCTGAGAAACCCAGGTCTGGAGCCTGCTGCCATCACGTCACCCCCCAGGGAGCCAAGCTGATAGAAACGGCTGCTCGGCCCTCATGTGTAGGAACCGGGGTGAGGGCTGCTCAGGGTCTGGAGGAAGGCCAAGCGCCATGGCAAGGGCAGCACAGGTTCAAAGCTCCAGCCTCACAGAATAGTTTGTTGTTTTTATTTTTTAAGTCAGGGTCTCACTATGTAGTTCAGGGCTGGCCTTGAACTTCTGGCAATCCTCCTGCCTCAGCCTCCTGGGTACTGGGATTACAGGCGTGCACCACCAGTCCCAGCATGCATGGGTTCTTGTACCACCGGGTAGGGTAGAGGGCGAGCCACAGAAGCAACTCTTCGTGGGTGAAGGTTCTGAGACTCACAGGAGTCCCCATCAGGCACACACTGAACGTCTGCTCGCTGTCCTAGACACACTGCGGACCTGGTTCACACAGTCCTGACAGCCCAGGAAGCCATCTGGTGCCCAGTGGAAGTGACAATCTGCTCTGAAGCTGGAGGGGAAGCGGCTGGAGCCAGGGCCCCTGAGAGATGGTAGAGGGCCATCCTCAAGGAGCAGGGCAGCGTCGTGGTTCCTGGCCACCAGCAACATCGCCCTGTGTGGCACCTTTAGTCCTCACTCCTGTGTCACATGACCCAGGTGTAACCAAACAAATGCCACATATGGCAGGGCCTGTCTTTTATAGCTACAAATTTAACACCCTTATCAAAATTCCTTCAATAACTGAGCCCCACCCTGGTGTGGAGAGCTTGCTGGAAAGGCCAGAGTCCCCAGCCCTCCTGTCCCCGTAAGCAGCTGTCAACATCAAGCCACCCTGGAGCATGCGAGTCCCAGTTTCCTAAAAAGGGCAACAGGGCCGTGCAGCCAAGACAGTGTTGCCCGACCTCTGACACAAAGGCCTGTGCTGCCAGGCAAGGCTGATTTCCCAGAAACCTTAGTGCTTTAACCACCACGGAGCTGCTAGAGCCCTGGGAGCAAAAAAACAAGAGGAGGCAGAGGGAGCTCCTGGGGGAGCACATGGTGGGGCCACCTGGGAGCAGGCTCACCTTGTTTGCACACTGCTTGCACTGCTTCTCATCCAGGCAGTCGCCAGCTACTTTGGCCAGGACAGGATCCAGGGGGTTGTCCTTCAGGTCCAGCCACTTCAGGTTCTAGAGGGCCAGAGAGAGCCAGCTGAGCCCCAGCACACACAGGCCCTGAAGGGGAGCCAAGAGAGCAAGAACAAAGCTCCTCCATGGGAGGAGCATCTGAGGCGGGCCCACAGGTGAAGGCAGGGGACAGTGTGACCCCTCCTCGGCCCACTCCAGTATCCCTCATCCCACCCTGGCACAGGGCGTGTCACCTTGAGCTGTGCGAAGCTGACGGGCAGGGTGACCAGCCTGTTGTTCAGGAGATCCAGGTGCTGGAGGTTGACCAGGCGGCCAAAGTCCGACGGCAGCTGCTGCAGCTTGTTCTTGCTGAGGTCCAGCTTCACCAGGTGCGTGAGGCCACAGAAATCCGACTAGGATCAGAGAAGAGGGGATGCTTGAGCCGGGGCCCGAGCACTCTGTTGAAACCATCCAGCCCACCTTGAGTACTCAGTCTTGTGACTTGGAGCACCTAGCACAGCACTTTGTTCAGGTGAGAGAGTGGCTGTACCCATAATAATAAATGAGTGGCTGTACCCATCCTACCATAACCTGGTCTCCTTCAGCACAAACCCAGAAACCCTGACACTCAGCCTCCGGTACCACCTCAGCTTGGTACCACCATTCATGTCCTCCAAGGCCTTGGGGATGCCACAGGCTCTGCAGCCAAGGACACGGAAGTCATCAGGACAGGCAAGAGGCCACACACATTGGAGAGTACACCGGGGTGCTGAGGGATAGGCAAGGCGGATAGGTGTGAATCTTCGGGAAGAAGTGGGGACCTTGGAGGCTTCTTGATGTCAGAAATAGCTTTTGATGAGCTGTGTGAAGATGCTACCAACCGCTAGGGCGCAGGCGAATACTGAAAGCCACGTTCTAATGACCCAGTGCAGACTGCCAGCCGCTCAACTGGGGCCTTGGGCCAGAGTCCAAGAGGAAGCTACCCTGGAATCAGTAAGGCGTTGCAAGAGTGAGGGGTGGAAACCCTGACAGTGACAGCAGGTGAGCACTTGACAGTGACAGAGCACTGCTGGGGCCCAAAGGGTCCAGTGTCTCTACAGGAACAGCAAAAGGAGAACCAGGAGAAGCTGCAAAAGATAGATCAAAAGGCCAGGATGGTGGTGGACGTCTATAATCCCAGCCCTCAGAGGCTGTAGCAGGAGAGTCGATGCAAATTTGAGACCAGGCCAAACTACATAGTGAGTTCAAGGCCAGCCTGAACCACATTGTGAGACCCTGTCTCAAGAAAATAAATAAACAGGGCCGAAGATTTAGCTCAGTGGTTCTGCCACCTGCCTTGAAAGTGCAAGGTCCCAAGTTCAATCCCCGGTGCCAAAAAAACAAAACAAACAAACAAACAAAAAAGAAAATAAATAAACAAAAACAAGAAAGAAAAATAGAAAAGAAAAATTCAAAGGATCAAGCACAGATTGGATGTGCTTAAGAGAAAAGCAGCAAATCTCAAGGAATTCAAGTCCTTGCCTGGGAGGAAAATGGTGAGGTAGTTGATAATGTCACTCACTCACTTTCCCCTCCTTAAAGACACAGCATGGGGGGCGGGGGACGGGGAGGTTCCAGGGAGCATTTGCTTTCTCCCTGGAATCCAGAGCAACTTATAAAGCAGGGGAAAAAAATGAGCCCAGTGACTCAGCCAGCATCCTGTGGACTTTCCTGCTGTTCTGAACAATGAGGCCTGGACCTCAACTCCCTTCCCTCTCAACACCCTCCCCTCCAACACAGAACTACTGGCTGGGGCCTGCCTGAAGGCCTGTCCTGAAACCATACCATCAGGACCCTCTACCACACCCCAGGAACACCCCGGGAATGGAAGGAGCCCCATCCAGGGCTCCAGGTGGAGTCTCATCACAAACTCACCGGCAGAGTGCTCAGTTTATTGCAGGAAAGATCCAGTATGGTAGCCTTTGGAAGCGCAGCCTAAAGACGGAGGTGAGAAAAACATTTCAAACCAACACCTGGAACGATTCATCGACACCTGCTAAAGAAGCATTTTCCACAAAGTTTTCCCATGATCAGGAAAGGCCTTTAAGAAACAGCACTGGCTCGGCGTGCTGGCACATGCCTATAATCCCAGCACTCGGGAGACAGAGCCAGGAGGATCACCTTGAGTTTGAGACCAGGCTAGGCTACATAGTGAGTTTAAGGCCAGCCTGGACTACATAGCAAGACCCTGCCTTAAAAAAAAAACAGGGCCGGGGATTTAGCTCAGTGGTTTCACCACCTGCTGCGCAAGCGCAAGGACCCGGTACCAAAAAAAAAACAGCAAGCCAGGCGCAGTAGCCCATGCCTGTAATCTCAGCACTATGGGAGGCTGAGGCAGGAGGTTCACAAATTCATGTCCCACGTGAGCAAAAACAGGGCTAGAGTTTAACCCCCAGTAACCCCCCAAAAAGACACTGAAGGTATAATATTCCTGAGGGTAAGAGGCTAAATGAGCCAGTCAACCATGATTTAAGAAAAAAATGCAGAGGAGGGGTTTGGCTGTGGAACACCCAGGACAGGAAAACACATCAAATCTTAAGAAATTCCCCATAGCACTTTTAAAATTTTCTCTGGCATACGCCTTAGGTTTCAGGCCAGGGCTTGCATCTTACAAAGCTCTGCAATCTGGTTCTCCCCTGGGCAGGGCCTCCTAGGAGAAGGCCCCTGATACCCACATGGGCGGGTACCTCGAGGCTGAAGAGACCGGTGAGTGCGGGTGAGGCCCTCACTGGCTCTTTCCCTGGGTGGCCAAGGCTGCAAAGGTGACTCTTTTCCCTCCTGGGACAGCGCTGTGCGGACCAGATGCCTGGAGTAACCAGCTTCAGGCATCAGTTCTAGCCCAGGACTGAAACAAGGCTGCCCTCCTCCCATGGGGGAAAGAAAGCAAACATTCAGTTAGGGTGACTCGAATTCTCAACCGCCAGGAAGTCCTAAGAGTATAGTTTGACCACCTAAAAAAAGTTTCGGAGCCCAGCATGATGGTGCATGCCTGTCATCCCAACATTCAGGAGGCTGAGGCACGAGGATCACCTCAAGTTCCAGGCTAGCCTGGGCTACACTGAGTTCAAGGCCAGCCTAAACTATGCAGCAAGAGCCTGTCTCAAAAAACTAACAAAAGGGCCAGGGATTTAGCTCAGTGGTTCTGCCACCTGCCTCCAAAGCGCAAGGTCCCTGAGTTCGATCCCCGGTACCAAAAGAAAAAAAAAAAAAAGACTAACAAAAAATTTTTTAGACTCTACCATGAGAAAAATAGCATGATAACCTCTCCATCTATGGGCATCCGGTACCTTCCAGGCATTTTACATTACGTTACAGTTTTAATCCTATCAATCAGTGTGTGAGATGGGTACTACTGGCTCCATTTTATAAAGTGAGGAAATCTAAGCATAAAGGTTAACTTGCCAAGGGCACTCAGCAATTGGGCAACGGAGCTGGGATATGAACTGGGAATCCCATTCTACCACACTCAGTCCTGGTGGCGGTGGCAGGCGAACTAGGCCAAGTGCCAAGGGCAAATGTAATTTTAAAGGCAGTAAGGAAAGTATAGGTCATCCAAAGTGAGGCCAGCCGGTGAGGTGGAGGTTGGGATTTCGGTTTGGAAAAGCAAGAATATGGGATTCAGCTCTACGTTTGCAATTAACTGGGCGTGTGATCTCCCAGGGGTCTCCGCTTTTCGGCTGCTCGACAGGCGGAATTCCCAGATTTCAGCTTGGCTGGAATGAGATTTCACTTTCTGCAAGGATCGCCGCCTGGGACCGCCTGGGGCAGCCAGCTGGGAGCGCCAGCTCCCTAGAAAAGCCAGGTTCCGAGCCACACCCAGGCCTAGCAGAAGGGCCTACGTCTCCAGGCCCGAGTCGTTCATTCATTCTCGAATCCTCTGCAACCACCGCTCGGCGGGCTCCTGCTCGGGGTCCCGCACGGAGCAGGGCGCTGGCAAAGTCCCCAAAGGAAGGACAGATTCATTCTGGGCCCAGGCCGGACTAGCAGATCCATTTCCCCGTCTCCTGGAACTGCGCCAAAGTGACACGTGTACATCCCAGAACACTGGGGCCGAACGCGGCCTCCCCGGGGAGGCCGTCCGTCCCGCCACTTTGTTTTAAAGATGGGGAAACTGAGTCTCGGGACTGGAAGCAGCCCACGCAGGGGCTTCTAGGCCTCGTGGGAGTTGTACTGACCAGCTCCTTGACGGGGACCTCATTCAGGTCGCTGAGGCTCAGGTCCAGCTCGTTGCCGTCCAGCTTGTCGCGGAGGTTCCCGCCCTTGCTACCCGACTTGGTCATGGTGACGCCGGCTGAGCGGGCCCTGGCTCCGGGCTCCGACGGGCAGGCGTGCGGGATTCAGAGGCCGTGGTCGGCTCAGCGGACCGGGACCCAACGGACAACCCCTGCGCTTAGTTGCCGCCGCTGCGAGGCCACTCCTGCCCGCCCGCCGGCCGCACTCCAAAGCCCAAGCCCCGCTCCCACCGGTGCCGCCGCAGCGACGACCACTTCCGTGTCCACGTCACCTTCCGTGGCCACCGAGAAATGATGGCCAGAGCGGCCGGCGCGGGTGCGCTCGCCCCCTGGCGCCCAGGAGAGGTCACTGCACCGCGCTTCCCGGCCGGACACTGTAGGTCCGCAGAGGTAGCTGGCCGTTCCCCAGTGGCCTGACACCAGCGGCGGAATGGCACGAGATTGGACACTAGAAGACCAAAACTGACCTCACCACGTCATCCTCTTCCTCCTGGATTAGGAGCAAAAGCTGGATGTCCTCCAGAATCGCTGCCTTCCCTGTATTTAACCCCCAAATCACAGTCCATTTCCTAGATTTCTCTCTTCTCTGTCTCAGCCGGGTCTCCCTCTCTCCCCTCCACCTCTCCCAGGTCTCATGAACTTTCTTATTTCGTTGATTTGGTTTGGTTTTTTGGAGACAGGGTCTTGCTACGTATTCCAGGCCGGGTAGTCCAGGCTGGCCCAAACTGGGCCTGTCTGCCGCAGCCTCCCAAGTGCTGGGATCACAGGCGTGTGCCACCACAACCAACTTCCATGATCTCTCTAGAAAACTGGCCAAGTCTCAGCTTGAAATCCTTCAAACACCCGGCTACCTCTAGGACATGGGCCCCTCTCCTTGGACTTGGTGCAGCTCTCATATCTTTCCCTCTCCTAGGATGGCCCAGCTTTCCCCACCCACCCTCTCCTCCTGGCTGACACCTCATCCTTTGGGAAACCTCCCCTGACCACTGCGAATCCCAGGCTGAGTTCCACAGCCTTCCTTGGGGCCCTGGCAGTGCCAGAGATCAGAGTGACAGAGCTTGGCTTAGCGGGGCCTCTGGCACTGGGCCAGCTGGTGTTAATCCTGACACTGCTGCCAGCTGCCTGTGAACCTAGGCAACCTGTGCCCAGGCCTCGTCTTCGGATTTGTGAGAAATGTGGACGACACAAGCATCTGGCTGGTAGTTGGTGGGGATGGGGTGGGTGGGCCTCACAGAGCTTCCCACAGCGACTGGCACTTGGTAGACCAGTAGCTCCAGCTGTAAGTCACCATCACCCCACACACACACACACACACACACACACACACACACACGCACAGAAGTCTAAAGTCCAAAGGAGCAACTGGTACCTTGTACACTACGCATGTATTAAGTTTGTCTTCTGATAAGCGTCGGTTTCCTTGGAAGGTATTTTCAGGTTTATTGCCTTATGTCTTAGCCATCTGTTTTGTTTTGTTTTGTTTTATTTTGGCTTTTGAGACAGTCTCACCATGTTGTCCAGGCTGTCCTCGAACTCCTGGCGATCATCCTGTCTCAGCCTCTGTAGTGCTGAGATTACAGGCATGCACCACTGTGGCCAGTGAATATTCATTATCTTGATAATGTACACAAAGAGACAATGAGGCTCATTTGATTGTGATCCTGCCCTGCTCTTATGGAGGAAGAAACCCTAAATTCTGAGGGAAAAAGCAACTGGTCCTTAAACACACAGCTGGTTAAAATATGGACCCAAATCTCCCCTCTCCCCCTGCCAAGCCGCCCAGATTGAACTGAGGGGCACTTTACTGTTGAACTACATCCCTAACCCTTTAAATTTTTTGTTTATTTACTTTGAGCCAGAGTCTTGCTTAGTAGCCCAGGCTGGCCTTGAACTTGAAATCTTCTTGTCTCAGCCTCCCAAGTAGCTGGGATTACATATGCCACTACATCCAGCAACCCAAATCTTTGTTTTTTTGTGGTTTTTTTGGTACTGGGGATCGCAGCAGCAAAACCACTGAGCTAAATCCCCGGCCCCATCCCAAATCTTTTGATCCAAATCCCATTCTCATTTCTTATGCACCTTATTTTTCACTTGAGTTTGTTTGTTTTTGTCTTTTCCTTTTTACGGTACCAGGGATTGAACTCAGGACCTTGCCCTTGCGAGGCAGGTGTGGCACCACTGAGCTAAATCCCCAGCCCTTACCCTATGTTTTTCTGCCTCAAAGGACCCCACAGTTCACACAAATAACTACCATATAAGGTAGAAAGATAAATGCCCTAACACATACTTGTACAGATAAAATCTGCGTGCAAACATGTAAGGCTCTGCTCACGCTTGAGTGTGGTAACGTCCATCTAACATGTGCAAGAGCATTCCTTGTGCCCAGGACTGTGTTTTACACTTATTGTTTCTCTTCACTTTTTCTGCAGTGTCTTCTAACTCGGTCCTCACAACAGTCTTATGAGGGCCACATTATTTCAGTTCTGAGGCGAAGGAATTAAGGCTCAGAGGGTTCAACAGTTTAATGACAATCTCAGCAAGGAATTGAATGCATTCCACAAAAGCCAGCTCCCTCCCAGCATGGGGGTGGTGGAGCCTGGAAGGAGGAGAGAAATCCAAAGAGGCTTTTCACAGGAGGTAGCTTTCCAGTGGGGCTGTGAAGAATGAATGGAGTTCAGACCAGCAGAGCTGCAGCCTGGAGTCAGGCACAGCAGGAGGACTGGAAGCTCTGGCCACCTTGGGGAAGGGGGGTGTAAGCTCTGCAGCGTGTGAGAAGGGGAAGCCACTGGGAACAGTGCTGCCTGTGCTTGCGTGGCCCCGGGGTGTGCAGGGAGCTGCCAAAGAAACACAGTCCCCACGGCCTCCAAACCCAAAGATCAGGATGCAGACAGTCCCTGAAAACCCAGGTTCAGGCCAGCGCTGCCACCACTGCCCCCATCCAGGCTTCTGTTTATCCTTCTGTAAAATGTGGACTATAGCCGGTATGGTGGCGCACACCTGTCATCCCAGCACAATGGAGCCTGAGGCAGGAGCCTTTGCCTCAAAAGAGCAGGTAGTGCATCTCAGTGCAAAGGCCCAGGGTTCAATCCCCAGTAACATACACACACACACACACACACACACACACAGCATAGTGTAGGTAGGTAGGTAGATCAATGGAATAAAATAAAGAGGCTGAAAAGAGATACACATGTAGGGAAGGTGAGCCAGTCCCAGAACCCGGAAGGAAGCTCCCCCGACATCATCCCAAGCTCCTAGGGCAGAGAAACTAAGCTGGTCCCAGCACCTAGGAGGAAGCTTCCCTTCTGCCATCCCAAGCTCCTAGGGCAGAGAAAGTGAGCCACGCAGGCGCCAGAAGCACCCCCACACCCTGTGGAAATGAGAAAACATGTAAACAAGCCTCAAAAACAGACTTCTGGATCACCTACAGCAAGCCCAAAGGGAAATGAGATGGAACAATCTGATACCCAACCACCTGGATTCTCTGAACTGGCAACAAAAGAGGATTTGGGAAAAATGAAATCAGAAATTATTACTCAGATAACAGCGAAGATTGTGCTCATGGTGCAAGACATGATTAATAAATCTAGAGAGGACACAGATTGAAAAAAAGAGGATCTGAGGAACATGATGGAATCCCAACATAGGAAACAAATGGAATCCATAAAACAGATGCAAACAGATTTCCA